AGCCCCACCACAATCATTCAATGGTCCAGTTCAACAGCCTTTTAATGGCTACCTTCATTTGGGACGTAATGCTGACCTAAACCCATAAACAGAAATATATTATAGTCAGGGCCGGTGCTACCACTAGGCAAACTAGGCAGCCGCCTAGGGTGCACTGCTGAGTAGGGCACAGCCTAGACCACTTCCCCCCTCCACCCCCCATTCTATTTCAAATTGCAAAAGCCAATAGCAGGCTGGCTATTGCACCCGCCCACTGAGTAGAGGAGCGGAACCGAGAGACAACTTTCTCTCTCATGTCCGCTCCTCTGCTTAGTGGGTGGGGTTTCAATAGCCAGCCTGCTATTGGCTATTTCAAATTAAAATAGCCAATAGCAGTCTGGCTATTGCTCCTGGCTGCTTACATCCACCTGTCGCCTGCGGATGCTAGCCAGCAGGAGAATGGTGCCACGCAGGGGGAAATGTGCCGTGGGAGGGGGGCTGGGTCGGTGCAAGTAGCTGGTCTTGCCTAGGGGGCAAAATAGCCTAGCACCGGCCCTGATTATAGTGTAGCTTACCAGTCCTTAGATGTGGTGGCTGTGTTAGTTTTCTTTTTGCAGGCTGAAAATACTTTCAGCACATACAGAAAATACTGGTTGATCTTGCCAGAAATACCCTTGACACCACATCATGTGAGATAAACTGGAAGAAAAAAAAACAAAACCTATCTTCCTTCTGTAAACTATAATAGGGATGCACCGATTGGCTGGGAAGCCGCCTCGATGCTGGTTGGTTGGAAAGCCGGTTTCCCGGCCAAACAACATGGAGCTGGCTTCCCGGGCAATCAGGAAGCCGAGCGGCATGTCATTACTCGCCGCTCGGCTTCCCGATTGCCAGGGAAGCCAGCTCCATGCCAGCGGAAGCACCGGTATCGTTACTTGGTATCGACACTCGGTATTGGCGAGTACCGAAAGCAAAATATTGGTACTCGTTATCAAAAAACCAGTATCGGTGCATCCCTAAACTATAATATGGCAACCAGAATCCATGATCAGGGACATGTTCCTGTTAGGATGTGGGAGGAAAAGGAGTATGGGAGAAATAGGTCTGCCTTGGGGGGGGGGGGGCGTGCCCTCCTGGCTTTCAGCACCCTAAGATATTGCGTGGGTGAGCTACAAGCTGATATTGGTGATACAGTTCATTTCAAGGCCCTAGATTAAAAAAAACGGTGGGAAATTGGAGATGAAACCTTACAATGATCAAATACAACGGTATGAAGCAAGAAAAAGTGAAAACCCCCTTTACATGCTTCTACATTGGTCTTAAATAACAGCAAGGGGGCATGCACCAATTGTAGTGCACCACAAAGAGACACAAAAAATGGTGAATTTTAAAAAGCAAATGCCCTCATTTTACCCCGTTATTGTTTTCTGGTTTCCGCTATTAATAAATGGAACTTCTCTATTGTCTACCACAGAGCACGGAAACCACACTGGCAACTAATATAAAAGGGAGCCCCTCTGATTTCTAATCATTTCCACATTAAAATATCATTCCCAGTAACTGCCAATTCCACCAAAGTCCTGAAACCTGACCGATGTATTGGACACATTACCGAACTAGATTCTTCCCGCCATTGTCAAACCTGCCCCGGAAAAGGGACATTTCCAATGTGAATAGTTGCTGCAATGACTCCACTTGTATGACTCCACTGCATTATTTGTTTTAAATTTAAAGTCTGCCGCCCCCCCAAGCAAATCCTTACTGACAAGTGATTTCAAAATTCAGGTACAACAATACTATATCTGTTATAGTCCAGGGGTAGGCAACCTCGGCACTCTGGCCCATGAAGCATTGCAAGACTGACATCCACAGGCATGACGGGAATCGTAGTTTCACCACAGTTGGAGTGACGAGGTTGCCTACCGCTGGACTATATGAGATTATACATGAACCAAGAACATGAAACTGCAAAGATTTTTTCTTCTGATTCATCTTTGTCAACAAGTGAGAGCGGCAAATACAATAGATCTCCAAGTACTGGTTATTTCTAATTTGGTCTCCCACCTTCCCCCGGATTTAATCTGTACTAACGCCCGATGGGGAGCTGGGTACATGAAAAGATACAACCAATACGTAGGAAAAAGTGGGAGGTGCTTGATGACTTGTAACAACCTGTTTGTTTCCTATAAACCAGGGGTAGCCATACTGCGGCCCTCCAGCTGAGGGGAAACTACAAATACCATCATGCATCTGCCTCAGTAGGCCATGCCTATGGCTGTCAGAGACTTGCAATGCCTAATGGGACTTGTAGTTTCATCACAGCTGGAGGGCCGCAGCTTGGCTACCCCTGCTATAAACATTCCTGTACGTGAGGTGCAATGGTGCTTTGTGGCAATGCTGAAAAATGCAGTCACTACCTGTCAAACAGCAGCTTACTCTGGACATTTTAAATTTCTGAGAACAATCAGCAAATTGGTGAATGTGCAAAACATGTGATACCAAATACATTATTTAAGAGCAATGCACAGTGCTTTATGACACCACAACCAATGCATCATTCTCTGACCTGATGGGCTGCTGAGGGTTAATACACATCACCTCTGCTCTCTGGATTGCATGATTAGGCAAGTGTGAGGCATTGTGACGTTTTCACTGGTTGCTGTGGGTTACCGTTTCTTCCAGTGACCCAGTTTTGATGGTTTCCCAGTATCTCCTGTGCTGGTCGATACAGGGGACCTCTCATTCTTTTGTCTTTCGGATTGGCGGGACTATGTAAACATATAACACAAAGAGCTGTGACGTACAGCAAACCCATGCCAACCAAAACAGGAACCAGGTCTAACTGCTGGTACAGTAAACTGATTGGTTGCCATGAGTAACTGTGTGCCATTACCTAAAGCACTGTGTTATTATATAACCCCAATACCTAATGTAGCATATCTGTACAACTAGGTCAACTACAATATTAAAAAGGTACTGTGTCACACCTGTGTGAGAAGCCTCAGGTGCAAAGGGTCTTTCTCTGACTACCTGTTGCACCTCATTTCTGGGCAGTGAAGCTCAACCCATTGCCAATCACTAGTATGCAGCTCAGAGTCAGAAATGTCTTCACCTGAGGCTTCTCACATGAATATTTTGCTTTGGGACAGGTACCACTTAACTCTGATTTTTCCCCTAGGTGATATCACATATAAAATGACTTATTTTTACATCAATACGGTCACAAAGAGTATAAAAAAGAGTCCATATTTACATCTGTGGTGGATTCTACATGGAATACTGCTCTCGTAGGGTCAGTGTATCAGTGTCTTGAAGAGACGGGTGAGTCACGGCGAAAAGTATTGCAACGGGGTGATTCCATCGCCTTAGTTCACTGATTGTTTTTTTTTGAAGGTACAGTCCATCCAAAAAAAAAAGTGGGCCTGTCAGTGAAATAGTGGGGACCATTGTTTGAGGTGAACCAATAATCACGGAGGGTGCAGCCCATAATTTGCTATCACAGGGACAAATTTGATCAGTGTATTCTTGAAAGTAGAAGCCATCCAAAGACAACCCTGTCACTAGCCAGGATCTCCATCTCGTTGCCTCCCAACTGCTTTTGCTGGTCCATTCCTGCTGGTCAACCAATCCTACTCAATATTAGCAGAATGCCAAGAGTTTAGGCAGCACATAAGTGAGACTTTGTCATTTCATTAAAGAGGCTCCTATGTAAAGTGGTAAAAGGCTAGAGGAGTGCAGTGTCTCTGCTGTATAGACACCTAGCTATGGTCTGGGACCTTGGTTCTCAACGGGTAGGTCGTGACCACATGTTCAGTGGGTCGCCCCGTGCCTTCCTCAGCCTCCCCCTTTTGCAGCACTGCCAGCTCTTGAGCCAAACAGCCATTCAAAATATGCAGCCCGGTGCCGAGTGTCAGCTTGAGGTGGGATTGGCTGGGTCTATGGCTGTGAGGGAGCTCCATCCATACATGCAGCTTCCTCACTTGTCCTGTAGAGGTGCCTGGACCGGAGCGACATCACATTCTGGCTCTCTGCACCTCTTCAGGGCACACAAAGGGATCTGTACAACCTGCACATACGGATGGAGTTCCATCACAGCACAGCAGCCCACACTGCACCCCAGGCTGAGGATCCACTCCAGTTCTCATAAGGTATGGAGACTGGGTGGATCTTTTGAATGGCACCCCAAACGCACCTCCCACCCACAGTTCGATCGCCTGCACCGGAACGCGTGGTACTGCAATGCTGTGCGTTCCTTTGCAGTGCGACTTGGGTCGCGACTTAATGACCAAGGACAAATGTGGGTCCTGAGGTTACACAGGCTGAGAACCACTGCTCTAGGAGGTTCTGTCCCAGATAACATCCCTTGAGCCATTCAACCTCAGATACTCATTATTACAAGCGTTCATCCTTTCATACCTGAATTTAAAGCCTCCCATACATTCCCATTTCCTGTCAGTGAAAGTTAATAGAAGCCTCCACAAAGGAGAGAGGTGACACCATGAGGCCTCTAAATGTCTAACTTGGCCTTCTGGACAGGGAGTGGCTACAATTGTGTATCAGCAATGACTCCCCTTACTGCATGGGAGTGTTTAAGGTGGATTATTCGGACCCAGAGTCCTCCCTCAAAGATCACTCCCCACACCCATCCTCTTCATATCATAGGAAGAAGGAACTTTTGACTCAAGTGTAAATTATGAAATATTCTTGCCTGACTTCTCTGCCTTCATGCTGTAATGTCTCACCCGTTTGCTGCCGGAGGGCTTTACAATGAATACTGCAAGTAATGACTGAAAGTGTTTGTGGCAGTGGTTGGACTACAACTGAGAGGGTGGAACTTGGATTTACCCCTAGCGTTCAAGAGTCCTGCGCTTTTCCCTGTACAGCAAGAAAAATGTACCACTTAAGCACCCCTTTGAGTATTGGTTCAATGCATAAAATAGCTGCTTTATATAGACGACGGATCCCCTGTAATCAGACTTTTGCAGAACAGAAGTACTGTAGTCCTCTTTGTAGAGGCAATGTCACTTCTCTGTAGAGCCCATCCTTTTAGACTTTATAAAAGCCATGCCATGAGTCCTCATGTGGGTATTTAAGGCAGCTTCAGTTTCGAATGTCTTGGCGCAAACTTTGCATGTTTTGTCAGATGTTATGCTATCCGCCGTTTCATTCCCAGCTGCCAGTTTATTCTCCTGCTGAGCATCCTCTCCAGAACCGTTCTGCTTGACCGAGGTCTGTGGCTCCTTGAGCTTGTGGACGATGAAGAGGTGTCTGGAGAGGGACACGTGGGAGGTGTAGCAGAGGCCACACTCCTGGCACTGGTAGGAAGAGCCATCGGACTTGTGCTGGGGGATGTGCTCGTGAAACTGGAGAAGGTTTTCTGTTGTGAAGCCGCACACCGCACACTTGTGGACCTTGAAGACGTTGATCTTCAGTTTCTTCAGGGGCTGAGTGATGGCTCCCCGGGGTGACCGGAATTCCACAACTGGTTCCTCCAGTATGCGCTTTTGTGCAGGCACCTGTAATAAACATCAAACACCATGAGATGCAATAGGCCTGACACAAACCTGGGCAATCCAAACTAAAAGAATTGCATTAGTGTCTTCCACATTTTATACTTCTGGAAATGTTGGATGACTGTGTTCCCCAACGTGGTTCCATATTCTGATCTCTATGTCACTGCAGAGTCCTAGTGACATAGGAGTTGAAGGAAGAAACCAGAGTGCAAGGTGTTGGCTATAGAAATCCAACACACTGTTGTCTAATACTGAAAACACTGATGGAGGCTACATTGCTGGAATGGCAGGGAGGTAGGTGACACGGGCTCTTCTATTGCAGGGAACTCTCAACGGCATGTTTTAAGTGTCACTTCAAATGTGGACCTTTAACCATATCTTTAAAATAACAACAAACATACCTTTAGAAATGTTTAATAAAAAAACAATGGAAGTGGGGGGGCAGGTGATGGAAGTGGGAGGGGGGAAGGTGATGTAGGTAGATATGGGGGTCTGGGTCAGAAAGTGGGGGGGCAGGTGATGGAGGTGGGAGGGTGGTGGGGGACCTTTAGCAAAATCTTGCCCAGGGCCCAATAATATTAAAGAAGGCCCTGTCTGCTCCTGTAAGTTTATTCACTGACACCAGTGAATATAGAGCAATAGAGATCTAATCAGCTCCTAGTGTTGGCACTCGCTCAACTAGTCCTGTTGTAGAGGATTACAGGAGGCTGATATATGGCTCAAGAGACTTATAATCAAATTGCACTGAAAAATAAGAAGACTATTAAAGGGTATCTGTGGTCAAAAACTAAAAATAATATTGAATTTCCATATATCTAGTATGTATTCCTATTACAATGCTGATGTTATAACAGGAGAGGGTATGCTGTCAATTTAGAATTCTTATAAGATATGTATGTAATGATTTCTACAAATGCAAGTTTTAAGGATTTCGATTAATAGCTTGCACCTGTCACCTGGAATGGCTGCTAAAATTTGATTTTGGTTGCTTCGGGTTATGAGCTCTTTACAACCTTGCTGCCATTTGTACGGTTTTTAAAAATAGGTCTCAAAGGGTATTAAAGCAAACTTGATCTGTACGAGATAATAGCGCATTGGCTGATGGTCTGCTGGTTGCTATGGCAATGTTTTTCTAGCGAAGGGAAGACGGCGGTATGGCACAAAATCCCCAGAGGCGGAAGCACAGTTAATTCACAAATAAAGAAGTGGAAAAAAAGTTAATAAGCCATAACACCACTTAATAGATGTTGTTATCATTCTACAAATTGTGGTACACAAATCAGACTGTGCAATCTTTTTAAGTGGACTAAACTAAAAAAATTATATGGAACATCTAAAAAGGTGTTAATTGTGCCCAAGGGTGTCCCTAGCAGTCTCACCGCCCGCTTGTGATGCACATTCCAAGCTGCGGGCAAGGAAGGCAGTGTTGGTTAATTGCTCTTGGTGCACATTCCAGGAAGGGGTGGGTCTTGTGGTGGACGTTTCGGGCTATGGTGCAGCTTAGTGCACACCGTCCTGCCCATCTCACGGACGCCACTGGTCTGAGCGACCCACTCAGCTTCTGGCAACCAGTGAGCTTGCCGAAACGATGGAGAGAATGCCACAGGTTGCCAAAAACTGTGAGCAACCTACGACACTCTGGCCAGTGCCTGGCACCCCCCCACATGACCCAATGAGATGCCGCAAATGCCTCAAGCTGTCTCATTATAGGGATGTCTCTGACTGTGCCTAATCCGTACCCTAAAAGAGTTTGTCCTTAATATTTCCTGAAACAAAATCAGTGCACTTCCTGTGCCTTATATCTGTACATCTGCTGTACATTTAAGGCACTGCTGCCTCCGACTGCTAGAGCGAGTTTAGGTGATGTCATTACTGTGCTGCTCATGGTTCTCTTTCCTGGAGAGGAAGCTGTACCTGAGGACCTGCAGTGCAACATCTCTATGCTTCTTCTTCATTCATTTCGTGAAATCTGTGCTTCCTCCACTTGCCCTGCTGCTCCTTGGTCATTAACTAGGGATGCACCGATACCGATACTAGTATCGATATCGGTGCCGATACTGAGTATTTGGGCGAGTACTCATACTCGCCCAAATGCTCCGATGCCTAGCCTGGTACTTCCTGTATCAGGAAGCCTGGCAGCGCATCATTACATGCGGCCCGGTTTTCTGATTGGCCGGGAAGTGGCTCCATGCTCTCTTGTCACTTGTGATGAAAGCATGGAGCCGACTTCCCGGCCAATCGGGAAGCCGGGCGCCGTGTAATGACGCAGCGCCCGGCATTCTGATTGGCCGGGAGGCCGGCTTCATGCTCCCTCGTCATTTCATGACGAGGGAGCATGGAGCCGGCCTCCTGGCCAATCAGAAAGCCGGGCGCCGCGTTATTACACAGCTTCCATGATTGGCCAGCAAGACGGCTCCGGCTGGGTACCGGAGGAAGGCCGCTCCTGGCTGGAGAGGCCCCGGGGGTTGACAGGCTGAACATGCCATGGTGAGAGGGGGCAGAGATCCGCACTGCAGAGACATGCTGGATCTTATTATTATTATTATTATGGGGATTCGTATGGGACGGCTTTCTTGTTAATCGGAGTGCCGGGTGGCGAGTCTTTACACGCTGCCCGGCTTCCCGTCTAATCATGAAGCCAGGTGGCGAGTCATTACACGCCACCTGGCCTCCTGAATGGGGCTTCCGGTACTCGGTAATTGGTATCAGCGAGCACCGGGAAAAAGTATCGGTACCAAAATACCGGTATCGGTGCATCCCTATCGTTAACCCACCGGTCATCAGAAATGCAGCTCTGACATGAAGAAGCAAAGCCCAGCTCCTCTACCAAGATGGCCGTCTCCACACAGAGCAGAAGTCAGTAATGGGGAAAAGATCAGCTGCGGGAGCGCTGGAGGCCACAGACCATACTGCTTTAGTCATTCGTCCTCTGCTTGCCTTTTTAGGTACAACTTCAACAACACAGATCCTCTGGTTTACATGTCAAGCTGAAGCTCAAATTATACACACTGTTGATTTAGGCATACCATTGACTCATCCACTCTTCCTGCCTGCTCTGTTCAACACCAAGTAGCGTTTGTAATTAGAAAGAGAGAGTTTAAAAGGAAACTGATTCTGCTGTGCCCTCTGTGTTTAGAACAGCCATAATGTTAGACATAACTACTGTCATGCACCTTGTATTATATGTTTATTTGTAAAACACATATTTAATATATATTAAAAAAAAATACCAGAACAAAATTGCCTTTAAAAAAATTATGCTTATTAAAAAAAAACAAAAAAAACAATAAAGTGATCCCAAACCATTATTTTTTTACCTTTAAAAGCGGACCTTTACCCATATCTTTAAAATAACACCAAAACACACCTTTAGAAATGTTTAGTGATGACAATCTACAGACAGATACTTCTAGATAATTGCCGGCTTTGTATTCTTTGCATACCTTATTACTCTTTTCTTTCCCAGTCTTCTGACAGTGGCCATGTTTACTAAGGGCAAATTACTAGCTCCCCATTTACTTCCTGAAACTTTTACACATGTGACTAAGACATGTGACCATGCACATCACATCAGGGGAGGAAAATGCCTTTCCCCGAAATCTCGTGAGATTACAGATGAGATTTCCCAGCAATGCACTGCTGATGTAACCTTCCCAGGATGCAACTGTTTTTGGTACATCATCATCATTTCAATGACAAGGCAATCCCAGCGTGCATTGCTTTGGCAAACTGAAGTCATTTTGTCCTTTCAAAGCAGGAAGTGAATACTCTGCAAGTGTAAGTATTTCATAATAACAGCATTTTACATCTGACATGTCTATGTTATTATTAATCATCATACATAGAGGGATGCATTGGGAGAATTTGATTTTTGAGTGTAAAGGTCCGCTTTAAGTATGTTAGTATTAAAATTTACCTGAGGGCAGTCCTTCTCCTCCAATGTCTGTTCAGTTTTCACTTCCCCTCGGTCTTTCACTTGAGGCTCTTTGATGCCGTGCATGACTTGAATGTGTTTCTCCAACATTAAGCGCTTGGTGAAAGCTCGCTTGGTATCAGTACAATGCCTAGACAACAAAACATCACACTTACACTCCAAACAAAAAATGGCTGCCTGAAAACTTGAAATGAACCCGTGTGGAAACCTAGACACATAAACATGTAAAATAGCAGATTTAGGAAGAAGCTTTTATTTCAGTATATATTTGATAGGCACACATCTCCACCAATGGCAATGTTTGCTTACAGGTGGCTCAGCACCCAACAATGCATTGTAGAATGCACAGAGTGGGGCATGCCTATTCTCCACCTTGGGGAATAATAGGCACGTAGTTAGGGCACCAAGCTAAACATTTACATACTTACAGCCTTTGCTACCTGACTAAAAGTAATTAAAACAAATATGTTGCTAAAAAGGCACCTTCCTCTGCCCAAAGGTTCCATCTACTATCCTGTAGGGTTACTAGAAGTCTGGAGAACTCAGGTGCTCTGATGAGATATTAGCAACCAGTTCTGCTGGTTGCTGACTCTGGCTCGCCCCTCCGGTTCCTCACTATTGGCCCATCACTGTGACAGGCAACCTAATGTGAGTTGGTCAATATTTCCATGGCAGAGTCCCTCAGGTTTCTGGGTCTGCTAGGCCAAGAAAGGAGGTTAACTAGATGGGCAGCACAGTGGTGTAGTGGTTAGCACTTCTGCCTTGCAGCACTGGGGGTCCCTTGTTTGAATCCTAACTAGGTCACTATCTGCATGGAGTTTGCATGTTCTCCTTTGCTTGCATAGGTTTCCTCCGGGTACTCTGGTTTCCTCCCACACTCCAAAGACATGCTGGTAGGTTAATTGGCTCCTCTCTAAGTTGGCCCTCTATGTATGGATGTGATATAGAGACCTTAGATTGTAAGCTCCTTGAGTGTAGGGACTGATGTGAATGTGCAACTATGTAAAGTGCTGCGTAAATTGTTGGCGCTATATAAAATACCTGTAATAAAATAAATAAATAAAGATCCAAAGACTGTCATGTCTTTGGCTGAATTTATATGCAAATCTCAATTTTTCCTGTAAAAGTCAAGCTTGGCTCTGCTATCTCCTACCTCCAGAGCTTCCTCATTGATCTGGGATGTTACCCATTATACTAAAAAAGACCAGAAATGGCTTAAGGAGCAAATGCGGGAGAACCAAGCATGGGTTTTACTGGAAAAAGTTGAGATGCAGACAATAATTCATACCTATAGCAGCTGTTCTACATTTACTCATTTTAGTCTGAATTATCCAGGTTTCGGACAGACTAACTGTATGCTGCTTGTTTACATTTTTAGTTCTTTATCCAGATTCACTATATTCTTATCCATAACTGAAAAATGGGTCTTGGTTGAAAAAGAGATCGCAAAGTAACTATAGAAATATAAAATCACAGCCAGTATGCAGCCTAAATGTCAATATGATTTTGGTGGATTTTTCCTTGTGCAAATAAGAGAGAGAGATCATATGTACATGTAATATCCTGAGAAGGATTAAGGCCTTTCCATGTGGCCGATTGAATTAATGAGTCATCTGGGAGCCAAAGAGAAACACTCACGGGCAGGTGTAGACCTTGCGGATGCCTTTGTGTTTGATGCGGTTGTGCCGACACAGACTATGCGATGAACTGAAAGACTTGTCACACTGCCGACATGGATGCTTCTTCATGTGCTGTAAAGAGAAACACAATTAATTGGCATCGCCATAAAAATGTTGGGTATTTTATTATAAATATCATCATTGCCATACAATATGTGTTATGTTCTTTTTTTCATTGGGCCTATTTTTTTTATTAATAATTAATTATTGCATTTATTATTGAAAACATATAAATAAAAAATAAAAAAAATCACCCATAACTGGAGTTAACCATTGCAAAACAATTATACATTTACACAGCATTTTAAAGTAGTACTAAAGACTGGGTGTTTCTTACTTTAATGCATTCCGTGCATCAAGGCAAAAAACACCCAGTACTTTTGTAAAACCCCCGTCCCCCCCTCGCTTACCTGTAGCCACATGTATCCTCCGCCACTACCAGGAAGATACTCGGGAATTTCCTGGTTGTGTGGGGAAGGTACTGAAGGCAGAAGATCCATAGGCTTCTTCTGCCGTCAATGAAACTGTGACTGCAAGAGTGGGGGAGTGGCCGGCCTCACACTGTGTGTGTGTCTATAGATGCACACAGCTAGGTGCGGGCACGACCGTGAGTGTGCACACACAGGTGCCTCCACAGCTGATGGAGGCCCCTATAAGGTGGGTGGGGCTAACTGTTTCGATACCACTAGAGAACGAGGAAATAAAAAACAAAAAAACTTTTTTTTAAAGTAAGTCTGGCCCCCATAAACGAAAGAAACCCCCTCCCAAAGGTTTAATGTCACTTGAAGGTGGATACGGACACCAAAGTGGGGAAAAAACATTACTTTATGGTTAGTCCATAGGGTAGCAATAAACCATGCTAAGGAACCTAGGTGGGACCAGGACAATACCTTACGCAAAGAAACAAACACAGAAAAAGACGGAACTAACTAGAACAGCGCCTGAACTTTCATTGAAATTTCACAGAAGTGTTTCCTGTTCAAAAACATTTTGGGTGAATTTTTTACATTTTAACAAAATACGCAATTTAAAGTGATAAAAAGGTCAACATTTTCCATTACGAAAATGATTGTGTGGTGAACAAACCCCCCCCCCCCCCCCCCCCCCCTTTTTTTCACCCCATATACAGATTTCTCAGTCTCTGCCAATGTGCCATCTTCTCCCTTACAAGCCATTCTTGTAGTACTCTGGGTGAAGCGAGGATATACAGTAGGTGTTAATTATCCATGTCCTCAGTTAACCTTCTTATTTCGAAGCTATTGAATGGCCTTTATTTTCATTCAAAGTTCAGTCATACAAAAAAAAAACTATTCAAAAAAAACTCAAAATCTAATAAATGTACTTTTGTTTTTATAAATGGTCTGGAATAAAAAAATAATTAATTAGGATCAAGTGAGGATATTAAAGGATATACAGAGAAGCCACCACATCTAAGGACTAGTAAGCTGCAATAAATTTATTTTTGTTTAGATAAACTTTGATGACTGAGTTCACCAAGAGTATTATATGGATGGCTGTGTTTACAAAAATACTTAAAAAATGCATTAAAAAAAACTAGCCCATGTGGAAAAAAAGGAAATTAAAACTAAGACTATTTCATGTTGCTTTTTTGCATATTTTAGTGTATTGTACCATTTGCATAAAAAAAAGGAATCCAAACATTTAAAAAATTGCCAGTTTTACTCAGTTTTCCCCCTATTGTCTGAAAAACCTTTAATAAAATACACCAGAAATCATGTGAAAAAAGGACAAAAAGAAAAATATTTTAGAGTATTTAGTAAATACTATTTACTTTTGTGTTAAGTTTAATCACATCACATATGATCATGCATGCTGTGATAAAAAAAAATGTGCAAAAATGTTTGTGCCCTTTCCTGGTGTTTTAGATAAAATTAAAAAATATTACATATACAAAATTTTTTTAAATACACCATTAAAAACAAACAAACAGTCAGAATAAATAAAAACAAGAGCTATCACAGCACTCTACAAAACATCTAAGAACAGCCTTAAACCACGAGTCAATGTTGACTCCAATTGAAGAAGAGAGTTTTACCCTTCGCATACAGAAAGGATTCCGTATACAGAAAGTAACAGCTGTAAACATTTGGAGTAGACTTCCACATGGGCTAGTTCTGGCCAACTCATTAGCTTCAAAACAAGGACTGGACGTGTTTCTATATGCATAAAATAACAGTAACTTGCTCTTAAAATTACACTTCAGAATGTTGACCCAGGAAGCATCTGGTCGCCATTTGGGATCAGGAAGGATTGAGTGGACTATACTTTATAAGGGTTTTGTGCCTTCCTTTGGATCAGCTTTTTCTGAGAATGCACGGAGTTTATTTTTTTTCTTTGTCCTTTGGTTGAACTTGATGGACAAGTATCTTTTTTCACCCTAAATATTTAAATAATTGACAGAACAAAGGCAGTCTGTTGCAAGTCCTTGCAATGTATACAAGTGACCTGAAAAGGAAAAGGGTTTATCAAAACACTGGGGGTTCTTTTTAATGTATACCTAAAGCCAAAACCTTTGGACAGAGTAGGAAAGAGTTAAATCCATCAGGACTTTGTTTGCTATCTTTGTCTTATTGTTAGGATTCCTCTTCACTTCATGTCTGGCAGACAGAACCGGAATTGTGGCGGGGGATGCCTCCAAGTAAGGTAAACACTTTCTTAGTAGCCAACACAACAAGGGTCCCTATTGAAATGTGGATAGTCTTTCCTTTTTTTTATGTCTTTCTTTCACTTTCTCTCCTTGCCCCTCTGCAGCACTTGCCCCTCCCTTTCTCTTCCCCTTCTTCCCTTTGCTTCCTTCTATCAGAATTATTGGCGTTAATACAAAAATTGTGGTATAGTTTACACAATGTTCCGCACCTTGAAGCGATAGGAGAGGTCGCAGTCTAGATGTGACCAGTTGCTCTTCATTCGATCAATCAGACGTGCCTTCATGGCCGTACAATTGGTCCGATGCTTATACATTTATGTGCTACTATTCCTTTGGCTGAACCCATGTCATTTATACTTTGAAATTCTGTTTTTCTATGTTATTTGTAACTTCTAAAATCTTTAAAAAAAAACATAAATATCTTTAAATAAATAATAATAATTAAAAAACAAAGTGGATAGAGGAGGTCTCAAAAATTAGGAACAAACTTGGTCAACAGAAGCACCCATCATATTATCTACATCAATAGATTTAGGTAAGGTGGACCCTCTTAATGGATGGGCACTTCTGTTGACAATGTTTGTTTCTTCCCCCCTCATTTTTGGGACCTCCTCTATCCGCACAGAGCAGGAATTCACACAGCCACTGGCATCAGGAAGTCCGGATTCTCTTGACAAACAGAGAAAGTGACTCAAATCTGCACGGAGGCAGGAATTAATATTCTCAGCAGGCTCCAAAACCAGGTTGCCTGTCCCAGAAACTGGTGTCTAGCAACCTTACAGATGTGAGTATTCTATTCCCAGTCGCAATTCACCAACCAATACCTTTCCATAATTTGAAACGGCTACACTTGATCCGTTCTCTCCCTTGGTCTTTCTGTCTTTTTTACCCGTTCCACCTGGCAGAGTACCTCCTCACCCCGAGTGAAAGTCTTCTCATCTAATCCTATTCTGGTGCAACTCAAAATTTGTGATTTTCTGTCACTTTCCATTTCGACAACAGTGGGCAGCAAGACAAAGAGAGAGAGAGTGAATGCCCTCAATTCCCCACTCTATTGAAAACTTAAAAAAAAAATGGGAGGAGGGAGAAGAAGAAAAAGGGAATGAGAAAATGAGAAAGAAGAAGAGGAAGAAGAAGAAGGAGAAAGAAGAAGGAGAAAGAAGAAGGAGAGGAAAGAAGGAGAAAGAAGAAGAAGAAGAGGCAGAAGAAGAAGAGGCAGAAGAAGAAGAGGCAGAAGAAGAAGAGAAAGAAGAAGAAGAGAAAGAAGAAGAAGAGAAAGAAGAAGAAGAGAAAGAAGAAGAAGAGAAAGAAGAAGAAGAGAAAGAAGAAGAAGAGGCAGAAGAAGAGAAAGAAGAAGAAGAGGCAGAAGAAGAGGCAGAAGAAGAGAAAGAAGAAGAGAAAGAAGAAGAGAAAGAAGAAGAGGAAGAAGAGGAGGAAGAAGAGGAGGAAGAAGAAGAGGAAGAAGAAGAGAAAGAAGAGGAAGAAGAAGAGGAAGAAGAGAAAGAAGAAGAAGAGGGAGAAGAAGAAGAGGGAGAAGAAGAAGAGGCAGAAGAAGAGGCAGAAGAAGAGAAAGAAGAAGAGAAAGAAGAAGAGAAAGAAGAAGAGAAAGAAGAAGAGAAAGAAGAAGAGGAAGAAGAGGAGGAAGAAGAAGAGGAAGAAGAAGAGGAAGAAGAAGAAGAGGAAGAAGAAGAGGAAGAAGAAGAGGAAGAAGAATAGAAAGAAGAATAGAAAGAAGAAGAGAAAGAAGAATAGAAAGAAGAAGAGAAAGAAGAAGAGAAAGAAGAAGAGAAAGAAGAAGAGGAAGAAGAAGAGGAAGAAGAAGAGAAAGAAGAAGAGGAAGAAGAAGAGGAAGAAGAAGAGGAAGAAGAAGAGGAAGAAGAAGAAGAGCAAGAAGAAGAAGAAAAAGGGAATGAGAAAGAAGAAAAAGAAGAAGAAGAAGAAGAAAGGGAGGAAAAAGAAGAAAGAAGGAAAGAAGACAGTTACTTTTTCCTATTGTAATCTGCACACCCAAATTGTCTGTTATTGCGCTTGTACATTGAATGGTGAGCACCATGAGACAGAGTTCTGTGGCTTGTTCAGTGTACCACTTCAGAGTCAGCTTTATATTAACAAATAATATGTACAAAGCTCTGGGGAAGAAGCAGCTATTGTTAAAATGAGAATCAAACTCTTGAAGCGCATATACATAGCAAGGGGCCTATTCGTCAGTAGTTACAATGGAATACATGAAAGTACAGTGAATTCTGTTCAATGCGCTCTCTCTTTTCTTCTGAATATAATCTCCTCTCATTGTTATAACCTGCTGGGGCTCCTCTAACGCAGCCTCTGTTACGGATCTTCAGCTTCTACCTTTGCTGCATCTCATTATATTTTCTCCCAGCTAGACCAGTAAGATGAAGGTCGC